GTGATAGATATTCACAAGCACTTGCAGTCGAAAATGCTAACAATCAATTGGATATAGCTAAATATGCAGCTAGAATTCTTCATCTACATCCATTCCTTTTCGCTAACATTTGTCTTTCAGTCATGCGCAGCGATATTCTAGAAACTGCTGTACCATACCTTCTAGGCGTTTTAGGAAATCAGATATTATCTAGTGTGTGAAATATTTCTTTGTCATTGAAAACAAATTACTTCTCAAGGAGGTGCGACTTTTAGTCCGAAAAGCTCTAGACCTTCCTGGGAGTGTTAAAACAACCGAACGATATCCTAATGCACGTGTGAGAGTGCTTTAGTGAATGACATAGAGTGAGAACAGTCACGATCAGAAAATATAAAAATCAGCAATGTAGAAATCTCAATATAGCATATTATTCCTACAAATACTGACACATGTGTGAAGATAAGGGCCAGCGTGTCAGAAAGGAAATGCGCGTCTAGCTCTAAAACGGGCATATTTGATCTGAAAATACGGTAGCCAAAGAAAGGAAGGATTCTGTAGGAAACCAATAAGACATAGGCTTTCGGAAGAAGGTCATCAACGAAGAAGCGAAGAAGGTCATCCTTAGGCTAGAAAGGCCTCAATTCTCTGGAGCAGAACCTTTTACAGCAACGTTCAACTGACGTTCAAATAGCTTTTGAGAGTGAAGAACTCCAGCTCAGCCAAAAAAAACCGATACGAGTCAAAAAGAAGCGCAGTGCTCTGCGGGAAAAAAACTTGCTACCGGCTGACTGCTAATTATTACTGATTAGTTATGTGCAAAGAGGATTGATGTCGCCCACACCAAGGAATCTTTGAAAAAGGCAATGCTCTAATGTGTAGCATGTATCCCAATCGCCATTCGTATCGTACATTATGTGGAGCCCCTACACAATGTGCAAGACTGACTTGACTACAAAATATGCAGCAAGAATTGTCTTTGAGGTGGGAGCCCTTTAAACCAAGAATACCCATTTCTCAGAAAATTCAAATTGTTTTCTGGAGAATGAAACGTTCGTGCCGCTTGCGCAATTGAAATGGTTGCAACCGAGATATTTGGGATAGGACTATAACTCTTCTGAACACAGTAGCTCTTCTGTTTGGTTCTGAACATTCAACTATTTGAATTACTGCCTTTCAAACAGGCCATCTCATTAAAACAGGGAATAGCTGATCTCTCAGAAAATTCAAACATCCAACCATTTGTTATCTAGATATTTACACAAATTGTTTTCTGGAGAATGAAACGTTCGTGCCGCTTGCGCAATTGAAATGGTTGCAACCGAGATATTTGGGATAGGACAGTAACTCTTCTGAACACAGTTAGCTTTTCTGTGTTGGTTTGTTCAACACATTCAACTATTTGAATTACTGCCTTTCAAACAGGCCATCTCATTAAAACAGGGAATAGCTGATCTCTCAGAAAATTCAAATTGTTTTCTGGAGAATGAAACGTTCGTGCCGCTTGCGCAATTGAAATGGTTGCAACCGAGATATTTGGGATAGGACAGTAACTCTTCTGAACACAGTAGCTTTTCTGTTTGGTTTTCAACATTCAACTATTTGAATTACTGCCTTTCAAACACAAGGCCATTCTCATTAAAATCAGGAATACGGGATCTCTCAGGAAAATTCAAATTGTTTTCTGGAGAATGAAACGTTCGTGCCGCTTGCGCAATTGAAATGGTTGCAACCGAGATATTTGGGATAGGACAGTAACTCTTCTGAACACAGTAGCTTTTCTGTTTGGTTTTCAACATTCAACTATTTGAATTACTGCCTTTCAAACAGGCCATCTCATTAAAACAGGGAATAGCTGATCTCTCAGAAAATTCAAATTGTTTTCTGGAGAATGAAACGTTCGTGCCGCTTGCGCAATTGAAATGGTTGCAACCGAGATATCCCTACTATATATAACGGGCAACGTCTGTCTGTCTGTGTTTGTCTGTTTGTCTGTTTGTCTGTTTGTCTGTTTGTCTGTCTGTCTGTCTGTCCGGAAATTCGGAATCACCTGAAGAGCCAGCTAGAAGGGACGGGTCAAGGGTGGGTTGGGTAGGGCATGGGCCAAGATGTACGGAACACACGTGAACCGAGCTAAGCCCCGCCCACTGTGGGCGGGGCGTGCGCACAGTTGTGAGCTACATATTTCAAAAATTCGTAGTCCGGTTCTAGAAGATCCCGGAGAGCGGAAATTGTGGGTAAGGATAAGCAGTCAGTTGGCGGATGAAATGAGGGAGTCACACCGTGATGGACGCGGGCGTTTTCTATATAGCGTCGGGCGTTGCTCGCTACAGAACTTTCAAAAATTCGTAGTTCGGTTCTAGAAGATCCCGGAGAGCGGAAATTGTGGGAAACGATAAGCAGTCAGTTGGCAGATGAAATGAGGGAGTCACACCCGTGATGGGCGAGGCGTGCCATAGGTGAGGCGGTGCTCGCTACAGAACTTTCAAAAATTCGTAATTCGGTTCCAGAAGATCCCGGAGAGCGGAAATTGTGGGAAACGATAGGCAAACAGTTGGCGGACGGAATGAATGAAGCACACCCACGATGGCAGGTGTGCGCCGAAGTGAAACGGTAGCCGAGGATAAACAAACCCTCAAATAATCTGAAAAACTCCAGGAAATGGGGAGTAAGTGAAAATGAGCAATGGTTGGGCAGATGATGTTAGTAAGGGATAACCGTAGGGAGTATACCAAGTGGTTGGTGCCGTTTATTCTGTGGTTCCTCGTCACTGACTGCAGCGCTGTATAGAAAATTTGGTCTTTTCCATGAAGAGGGAGGGCAGTCGGGGGGGGGTATATACTAGCAGTGAAACGGCAAAGTGCGGTAATTCTCAAAACAATTTTTTTCGACCATTCGACCGGCGAAGCACCGGGACCCACTTCACACCCGGAAGGAGGATCGGCCGGCGAAGCCGGCCGATCCGACTGGCCCTCCCTCTCATGGGAAAACTTCTCGCCGGGACCCACTTCACACCGGAAGGAGGATCGGCCGGCGAAGCCGGCCGATCCGACTGGCCCTCCCTCTCATGGAAAACTTCTCGCCGGGACCCACTTCACACCCGGAAGGAGGATCGGCCGGCGAAGCCGGCCGATCCGACTGGCCCTCCCTCTCATGGAAAACTTCTCGCCGGGACCCACTTCACACCCGGAAGGAGGATCGGCCGGCGAAGCCGGCCGATCCGACTGGCCCTCCCTCTCATGGAAAACTTCTCGCCGGACCTATTCACACCCGGAAAGGAGGATCGGCCGGCGAAGCCGGCCGATCCGACTGGCCCTCCCTCTCATGGAAAACTTCTCGCCGGGACCCACTTCACACCCGGAAGGAGGATCGGCCGGCGAAGCCGGCCGATCCGACTGGCCCTCCCTCTCATGGAAAACTTCTCGCCGGGACCCACTTCACACCCGGAAGGAGGATCGGCCGGCGAGCCGGCCTCGATCCGACTGGCCTCCCTCTCATGCGAGATAACTTCTTTTCGCCGGGACCCACTTCACACCCGGAAGGAGGATCGGCCGGCGAAGCCGGCCGATCCGACTGGCCCTCCCTCTCATGGAAAACTTCTCGCCGGGACCCACTTCACACCCGGAAGGAGGATCGGCCGGCGAAGCCGGCCGATCCGACTGGCCCTCCCTCTCATGGAAAACTTCTCGCCGGGACCCACTTCACACCCGGAAGGAGGATCGGCCGGCGAAGCCGGCCGATCCGACTGGCCCTCCCTCTCATGGAAAACTTCTCGCCGGGACCCACTTCACACCCGGAAGGAGGATCGGCCGGCGAAGCCAAGCCGCCGATCCGACTGGTTGGGATTAGCGACAGTAACTCTTCTGAATTACAGTCAGCTTTTCTGTTGCGTTTTCAACATTCAAGCTTTAGATTTACTGCCTTTCAAACAGGCCATCTCATTAAAACAGGGAATAGCTGATCTCTCAGAAAATTCAAATTGTTTTCTGGAGAATGAAACGTTCGTGCCGCTTGCGCAAACTGAACATGTTAGCACCGCAGCATGTTTGGGATAGGACTATAACTCTTCTGAACACAGTAGCTTTTCTGTTTGGTTTTCAACATTCAACTATTTGAATTACTGCCTTTCAAACAGGCCATCTCATTAAAACAGGGAATAGCTGATCTCTCAGAAAATTCAAATTGTTTTCTGGAGAATGAAACGTTCGTGCCGCTTGCGCAATTGAAATGGTTGCAACCGAGATATTCTGCCCCGATAGGATTCAGTAACTCTTCTGAACACACAGTAGCTTTTCCTGTTTGACGTGTCAAATTCAACTATTGGGAATTACTGATCCTGTTCAAACAGGCATCCTTCATTTAAAACATGGCGGAATAGCTGATCTTCTCAGAAAATTCAATTGTTTTCTGGAGAATGAAACGTTCGTGCCGCTTGCGCAATTGAAATGGTTGCAACCGAGATATTTGGGATAGGACAGTAACTCTTCTGAACACAGTAGCTTTTCTGTTTGGTTTTCAACATTCAACTATTTGAATTACTGCCTTTCAAACAGGCCATCTCATTAAAACAGGGAATAGCTGATCTCTCAGAAAATTCAAATTGTTTTCTGGAGAATGAAACGTTCGTGCCGCTTGCGCAATTGAAATGGTTGCAACCGAGATATTTGGGATAGGACAGTAACTCTTCTGAACACAGTAGCTTTTCTGTTTGGTTTTCAACATTCAACTATTTGAATTACTGCCTTTCAAACAGGCCATCTCATTAAAACAGGGAATAGCTGATCTCTCAGAAAATTCAAATTGTTTTCTGGAGAATGAAACGTTCGTGCCGCTTGCGCAACTGAAATGGTTGTAAAGAGGTATTTACTTGTACCCATTAGCTTTTCTGTTTGGACCTTAATGTTGATAACAGACCTTATCGACGACAGGAAGATTAGATTCGTATTGATTGAAAAGCGGATTACGGGTGTGAGCGACCGTGTTGTGAGGTATAAACGCAGCCTTACAGTTGTTCATCAACAGCGATGGCCATTTTGATTATCGGTGGTAAAATTCGTTGCAGCGCAATTATAGTGAAGAATAAGGTAAATATGGCGCATTGGAATGATTGCGGTCCGAAAGTGAATCCCAACTCCAAACTGCGAGATGAATTTCAGTGGGGCATTTTGGTTCCGAATTGATTATCATTTAAGAGGACTTCAATTATTTGTTGGCACGTTATTATCATTGAGAGAAGTTAGATTGCAGTTATGATACGACTTGACTCATGTAGACTTTGTTCATGAGTGAACCTTCTCCAAATATCCTTCCAGTTCCTTTTGGAACGGACTCTAATCCACGTCAAATCGAGTTCTAAAGAAACTTCCGTTCAGACTTCTCAATGAGTGGAAATCACCGACCGTGCTCAAAGAATTGACAACACTCGCACTCCATCACGATGGGGTGCATACACTACACTTCATCATCGTTTATAAGACTTTAAATGTGGTTGGTAATAGAGGTGCCAATCAATTCGGAGTGTTCAGCACGTTCATCTTAATACTCAACAGTCACTAGAACTCTAGACGTTTCACCGCTTGAGTTAGCTCAGGTTTTTATGATACCCACAGGAGATTAACTACGTTAATTTATGAATTTCCACTGAAATCATTCTAGACAGCATGGAAACGGTTACATGTTCCTTTCAAAACGGAGAACTCGGCGAAAGCTCTGCAAATAGACTGCTTAAGCAAAAGGAACAATCCCTCACAATTCACAAATAACCACTTCTTGAAACCAAGTCACACTGTTGTTGTAAGCCAAGCAGTGAACCGAACGATCCTTTCCTTCTAAGTCTCCTTTTCGAATCTTACCAGATATTATCACTTAAACCCAAGTTTGCTGCGCATGAAGGAGCGTGCCAGGCGGGATGAGTTTGACGCATTGCCAAACCCGTTCTCCATCAAGCGTTGAAGCCAGCACATGAGAAGTCTGTATCATATCGTTCCCTATCACTCGTTTTCTACGAACGGACTGAACGCCATGACACACTTGTACTGCCTGACAAGCCCCTTCATCCGCCGCAAACTAGCGTAAACTTTCACTCGTCGTTATGCTCACTATTCTTCTGTCCGATTTCCAACATCACTTTTGATAACCAACGTCAGTCAACAGCGTGCACTGTCGCGTGCATTACATAGGAACCTCACAGAGCCTTGCCCGACAGCATACCCCCTATCTACCCAACCCTGTGTGAACCAGATGACTCTTAAGTTCTCATTCCCCTTGTCCGATGTTATCCGCTGTTAGCACTTCGTCTGCCACTAATAAGTTTACTGTCCCATACCTTACATATATCATATCTTGGGACCAACGTCCTAGAATTAGTGCGACCTGCTCTATGGATTTCATGACCCTCCTTTTCTAACGCCCCTTATCAAAGCTTACCATCTCTTATCACTTTTTGTCACCCACCAATAATGTTCCTGTCCCATGCCCTACATCATATGTTGGAACCATTGTCAAACCGTTACGGGGAACGGCGTTATGAATTCTGTGACAAACCGACAGCCGGACACACGCAGACTTAGCCGATTATATTTGGTATTATAATTATAGCACGTTCACAAAAATTCAGGCCCTCCAGAGTAAGCCTTTTACGGCTGATCATGACCGAGCCTAGCTAAGTTTGAATTTCCCATTATTTACTTGCGCTTTCACTGGACACTGCTCCAACTTTTCCAGTTGAACACGAAACTATGCCCAAAAACAAGTGAGAATTTCCGACGTTTATGCACTGGAGAGAAGGGATACGGCTACAAGGGATGTCAATGGTATAGAATAGTTCCTGGATTCTGCGCTTGTGTAAGTCTCTCTGTTTTCTGTTGCTATAATCATTGCACTACATTGCAATGTTCCGATTTACGGTTTCCACGACGAGTTGAGTTTTTTTGAATTACGTAGTCCCCTCAAAACTTTGGGGATCGTTTGAAAGCTTTGGATTTCGAGAAACTTCTCCATCTTCTAGTCCGGCGACTTCGAAACACAGAACCAGGATCGCAAAGGCGGTCACAGCACTTTCGACACTAAATACTTTGATGATGAGAACTATGACATCAGTCACAATAAAAAGTCAGTTTTACCGGTTGTTTTCACGAGAACTTCATCTCGAGGATATTTTTTCGCGATTACAGGGGTATTCTTTCCATGGACAATTTCGGTTGGGCCAATACGAATTCTAGTCGATTCTTCGTTACTTTCACCGATACTCCATGGTTAGTTTCAGCTTTGGGAAGACATCATTTGCGTTCTCTTATCCTTATAGTGGAAGGCTATTAGCACTGTGTTACTACTTCATTACAGGCTTGGTCTAGAGCTTTTTCTAGAACTTTCAATAGAGTGAGTTGATAAAAGGTTTGGCGGGTGCATTTTGCTGGTTCCTTTGGCCGAGCATTCAGCAGCAGTTTTAGGACCTGTTAGATTTTTGTGAAGCTGTGCCAGCATGAGCTTGTATCACACTTACAGCTGGTTCACGGTTTCACCAAGGCAGGGGCTTTCAATTGCAGTACACTAATCAAGTTGAAGAGATCTAGTCGAACGGAGCAAAATGCGACGCTCCCTAAGCACAAGAAGCACGCGCGAAAATGTAACTTAGTACCGAATGCCGCAGTAGATTCCTTTTACAATCTTGAAACATGCTCACAACATTATTTTTCAGCTGTGATGCTTAATTACTGACACTTTTCATTCAATGCAAGCTCCTGATTCGCTTGCGAACGGTTCGGCTCGGTTATGCAGTATGGAGCGTACATCACGGTCAACGCCTTGCAGCCTTTTCTTGTGTGTAACAGTCCGTGCGAACAAAATGTGCTAGAAAACGAATAATACGAAACATATATAAACACACACTGGACATATCACTTGCTCTCTTTATCAACCGTTGGAGAACGGGTTCGGCACCGCGCCAAACTCATCCCGCTTGACACGCCCAAAGGTCCGCAGCGAACTACACTATATTCACCTCTGTAGTGAGAATCGCCAGCAATAAAAAGTGTACTATTCTTTGGGAGGTATGAAGCGCATTTATTCGCATGGGCCAGTAACATTCAAAATGGTTTTTCAAAACTTTCGCGCAATATAGCCTCGTCGGCTGACATGTGTAACATAACAACAAAAAACGATACAAACGAAGCTCAATAGGAAGTCAAGAATAATACTTCACAGCGTCAGGTAGTGATGGCATTAGCAGCTGTTACCATTCACAATCAGACGGCGCTCGATTGTAATGGGTATGACTGTACTACTGCCGGCCATCCCACCGAGGACACATACAATGGTTGGCGGGCTTTAGCGACTCTATTACTACCCCCCTTCTCCCTTTTTTTAGCAGTTGGTACGAACCCCTCCCCCAGCCTCTCGTCCTTCCTTCATCGAATCGACCCGGTTCGAGAGCGGTTTTGAGGGCGGGCACATATGACGGTGAATACAGGAAAATAACCAAAGGCAACCTCCTACTCGTACACACCCAAAACTAAATACGACCCCCTATCTCTCTTTCAACGGTCCATGAAGCGCAGAAAAATCAAACTATCAAAAAAATTTTTTCTCGCGCCCTTCTTCCCAAATCGACCCCCACCACGCCCCCCCCCCCCTATGGGAAGTTCCCCAACAACCATTGTGGCCCTGCATGATCACTACTGGTCGGCGTCTCTCTCTCCCTAGACTATCACCGCAAGCCGTGTCACCTACTGGATAGAACCGAGGCAGCTGTTTCGGGTTAAACTCACGCCCTCACTATGCTGCCTGCACGACATGCTTTGTACAGTTTTACCTAAGCGCTATCTGCATAAGCGGGCGCTATACTGGGTTGCCGGCACCATACAGTAATGCTTTTTTTTCAATGAAAATTTTTGTTCAAAAAGTGGAAAATTATATGCATAGCAAGCTGTATATCATCTGATACGGAAACTTCTCGATGTATAGAATATCGAAAGCCTGCTTCGGGTGGTGGGTTATGTTGGTTGAGGGAATAATTTTCGTGAATTTTTAGTCGTCGAAGCTGAAAGTGAAGTCGGCAAAAATTAGCACCTTCGACAACTGCCTCTATTTACGTGTAATCGGGGACAGTACTAAATATATCGCTTTAAGCGCTCCAGGACATATGTAAAGTTTGAGCTAGAGCTATCTCTATTATCAAGGACGCTCGGAACTAATTTCAATTCAATGTTGGCAATTTTCACCCTCGCCGATATTGGGCAGGCTCACGTCTGTTCCACCTGAAATTTTATGCTAATAGTTGAATGTTTCGCTGATATGTTTTGCATGTTCGTGCATAGTCAAATTTGCTTTCTTCTCTCTTTATAATCACTGAAATGGAATGAGAGATTCTTTCTCCGTATGAGGCTGTGTACTTGTCTGTGGAATTCATTATCATACGGGAAGAGGTCGATGGGAATAGTTCCTCTGATTGCTTTCCCTACGCTGCCACCGAAGCTTTGATAGCTCCTAGAGCAGCCTCAATAAGAAATCCCATCGTTTAGTAAGCATAGGAGAACATATTAGTGTTAGGACGGCTCACAATTGATTCTGGAAAAAAAGCACAACCGACAACGTTGACCTTGCAGACATCCGGTCGACCCATACCTCACGATTTTTTGTTTTCCTTAGTAAATTTCAAACACAGTATTTACAACACTATAAAAATATAGATATTTACAATAAACTAGTCAATGATATATTCCCCATTGTTTCTTACAACCTCCTCCCACCGATCAGCCAGCTGTTCAATGCCTTCTCGGTAAAAATCCTGTGGCCGCGACTCGAAGAAGGAATCTAACCAAGACCTCAGTTCGACATCATTGTTAAAGGACACACCACGCAGCGCATTCGAAAGGGATCGGAAAAGATGAAAATCAGAAGGTGCCAAATCAGGAGAATGTGGAGGATGTGGAAGGACCTCCCAGCCGAATGTCTCTATAGCCGCCCTGGTCATGTTAGCGACGTGTGGACGAGCGTTATCGTGCTGAAGCAGAACACCATACTGGAGGTCAGGTCGCTTACTCTGGATAGCATTATTTAGTCGCTGCAATTGCTGAACATACAGCTCCGTGCTGATGGATTGGTTCCGTTCAAGCAGCTCGTAGTGGATGATTCCTCTCCAGTCCCACCACACGCACAACATCGTTTTCCGTGGATGAAGTTCTTGTTTTGCCCGCGGTGTTGCCTGTTTTTGGGGGCTCAGCCATTCCTTGCGCTGCTTCATGTTCACATACAAGCACCACTTTTCATCACCGGTCACAATTCCGATATAATCGTTGCTTGTGGCCATAAGTTACCTTATGGCGGGCAAGCAAGCTAGCGCAGATTGTGGTTCTCTGACTCCTACCGCTATCGCTCAAAGAGTGCGGAACCCAGGCACCAAGCTTTTGGGTCTTCCCCATCGAGTGCAGGTGACGCTCGATGGTGGTGTGGGAGCACTGCATAATCTGTGCCAGTTCTCTCGTTGTACTGCGCGGATTCTCATGGACAAGATGGTTGAGGCGGTCCTCATCGAAGTCGTCAGGGCGTCCGGCGCGATGCTCGTCTCGTAGGTCGAAGTTGCCATCCTTGAAGCGTTTGAACCAATTATGGGCTGCTCTGAGAGGGAGGGCGTCTTCTCCGTACACTTCGCAAATTTCCCGAGCTGCATCAGCAGCTTTAATACCTCTATTGAATGCGAAAAGGAGGAGTTGTCTGAAGTCCTGAGATTCCATATTACTGACCTGAAAAACAAGGAAATCAAACGGATTATAAAATAACTGCACCGTAGTGTTATAAAGCACGAAATTTGCTATCACAGCATACAAAACATTAGCGAAACATTCAACT